TTTTGTTTATTTCACTTTCTCTGGGTTCTTTCTAGAGAGTTAAAAAAATCCATTCTCAACGAAAAAGTAGGCAGATCTTCATCGGTTTGTTCGAAGTCACTCGCGAGAAAAAAATGTCTTCGCGAGGCGTTTGTTTGCTGAAGTCACCAGCGTGCACAAGGCGAAAGTGAAGCACGCTCGCGCAATTGAATTTGATTTCACGAATTTATTTCATCCATCCAAGAAAAAGACTTAAATTTCACATGCAATCTAGATTTCTCTACATAAAAATTCTCTGTGGAAGAGAAACGCGTATTATATGTATGGACGTCAGAAGAATTAATAAAAAGTTCACGAATATTCCTTGGTGTAGAGCTAGTAGAAACATCATGCATTATGGCGGAAACGGTTTCAAAATAGAGCATATTGATGGTAGGATACTCGAAGTTATAAAAAGAGGGATAGCATGAGATATTTTTCTGGAAAAGAAAATAAAACGGAGTGCAAGCTTTTGTAAGGCGAGAATCTTTTTTAAAACACACTGAGCCGCCTGACCCCAAGCAGCTATACTGTAGAGCGTGTACGGAAAAATCAGCGAACGGTAAATTTGAAGAAGGGTATTTAAAGGTACATGATGTCTAAGCCTAGCAATTATGCCGACTATTTTGCTAATCTTCGAAGCAATATGATCAATATGAGGCCTCCAGGTTAAGTTCTTTTCAATTAGTACACCCAAAAAATTTACATAATCTTTGCATTCAAGAAGTGAGAATCCATTGTTGTTATTTCCGGAATTCTGATACATAGCTGATGATTAATTCTTTTCGTGACGTAGAACATTAGTTGCAATAGTTCTTTGATGCATAAGCTACACAAAGATCTCAATGGAGTGATGGCTCTCACGGCTAATAGTTAAAATTTTGGCCATTTTATGGCAAACGGTTTATCTTCCTTTTAAGGAGTTTAAAAGAAAAAATTCTTCGGTTAACCCTTTTTATGACTTATGATGAAACTTTGTCGATATTTGCGCCGAACAGCTAAATTATTTTCCGTTTTACAAATAACGGTTAACTCCACTGAGACACTTCTTCAGATCACTGAAATGCATTAGTACTATATGTACTGTTGAAACAGCTCTATGCCACAGCTATAACCACTGGTAGTATGGTGTGGTAATTGTCACTCTGATGTGGCTTCAGCAAAGGCTCCCTAACGTTCGTCAAACAAAATCCAAGCTACAAGCTGCATGTATACACCGTGTTCTGAATTTGAGCAATTTATGACCCTTGCAGGGCCTTAACACATCAAGGGGTGTAAGTGGATATTGTCAATAATGCTAAGGCAAACTGGTAAAAAATGCCAGAGTTGAATCCGACTTACTTAAGTACCACACACTACACACGCGCACCATACAAACTGCGCGTAACATATCACAGTACCTGTAATGTTGCATAAGAGGCAAAGGTTGAAATTTCTAGGACCAGAATGAGCTTATTCTACGAAACCAGTTATCTTTTAACACGAATTCAGAGGAAATTCACTTTTACCTGGCCTTTTTTCTTTTCTTTTATCATGTTTATTTTCTGGTACAGTGGGACTGTTTGTTTCCTCTCTACATTGGGGTTGATGGCTGGGAGGCCAAGATTTGCTGCTGGTGAGAACAGTCCCCCATCAAAGTGCTTGGTGCCAAAAGAGGAATCTAAATGATGTCTTTTAGGCCGCCAATGAGAATAGCGGTCGTTAATAATTATTGCATTAGAAGGAGAATTCCGTGGTAAAAGATAATTCGATAAAGAACTGGAAGTGTTTAACAGCAGTCAGGTCCCGGTGGTTCGAAAGGTGAATAACGCTATATCCAACGAATAAATGCTACTCAGCAAATAAGTCTTGAAACCTACTGCACTATTTACCGGATAATGATTTCACCAATGGTGACTTTCTCTTAGCGACAACAGAAAATTGGTTAATCAGATTGCGACATTAATGCCAATTGTGGTAAAAAAAAAGACTGCATTGATAATAGTTCTTGTTCAATGAGCGCACTGAAATTTCTACAGCTATTGTACAAAAATCATTTTCTCCCTAAATGTGCATTTTCTATTCACTTTTTATCCTCATTTTCTGCAGCTTTTCATGTAGATCTTTTAGTTCTACTTCAAAGGTGGAAACAGAGTGAAGAACTAAAAAGCAAAATGGTTTAAAACATTTAATACCATTCTTGGTTGATAGCATTATATCAGAGTTACTTAAATATCTCGTGAATATACATTATTCGATATCATACCATGTACTGGGCGTAATGTTTCGCAAGTTGCGCACAGCGCTTGCAAACATAATAGCAATGAGCAAAATATCCGGTTGCATAACATGTTGACCTGCCTCATAGTTCATCAAATTCACCCTAAGGAATACAAAAGGTGTCCGAGAAACACAAAAACAACACATACAAAACCATTTAGGAGTCCTTTAACACAAACAAAAGAAACTGTCACCTAAAAATTTTATTACTTAAAAAGTCTAGCCTTCATTTAGTCCATAGGCCAGGGCCCAAAAAAATGGGCTTTCAGTACGGGGGAACAAATGCTATCATAGATTTTTGAAAACGTCAATCACTCTAGTTTAATATTATGTATGATAGCAGTGCCAAATGAGTAGCTGAACAGGTATTATCACGTGATCAAGTGACGCTCCTCCTTACTAAAGAATTGACAGAAAACAAACGATAACTGCCTAACACTATTCTTTGCAAGCGCGTTAACCGTTCTTGAAGGGTGTTTTATGTATAAAAAATGATAGAGGTTTCATCCAGATGAGTTTTTTAACTACTGAGTTCAGAATTATTTGAGTTTCTAAGATTTTTTTCCATGGCAACGCTAAATGTACTTAGTGTAAGCGTAAAATTCTGAAATATTTGTTTCATGTCTTTCCTCGCAAAATTCTCACTAGTAGAAGAAGAAAATAATATTAGATTCACAGCCAACAGTTAATTTAGACGCCATCGCTAAAAAGACAATATATCTTCACTAATATCCACACGCCATCGTGGATCCGCCATGTTGCATTCGCCATCTTGTCGGATATTTAGAAACGATTACTCTAATATATAATGAGGCAAAATTGTTTAAAAATATTTTGAAGCATACGTTTCAAGTAGAAATACTTGTTATTCAATCTTCAAACAATCCCTTAAGTTGAGGAAGGATACAATTATGATGAAATATTTGAAAAATCAGAGTTCTTAAAGTTCATTAATTTTCCTGAAAAAGAGGACCCAGTTCACATGGAGGAATAATGAATTAATAATTGTCACAATTATATCTCAATAGCGTAACAGATGATTCCTTTTTGGATTTTTAATCTTCCTCATTCCTATCGTCCTCATGCCTCAGAACATACGTCATCGGGAATTTCTTCCTCCACCGCGGCACGATTGCCAGTAATGAGAGTGTTAAAAGAAAAGCATCTAGTTTTGTTGGAATATTGATTACACCCTCGCATAGTTTGGCAGGTTTTGGTGGCTAGGCCAATTCTCGGTCAGCACTATTTGAAAGATCTGCATCACGGGTGTGCATGCCGGTTTGCTAAATTACCTGGATTTCGGAAGGAGACGTCCTTTTGTCTAATTGCTAAGATTATGATAACTTAGGCAGAACTTGATCGACTTTAGTCAACCGCGAAGTACTAAGGAAATTAGGTGGTTTGAGTATAAACTGAAGTCAATTTGATACAAGTCGATTCAAGACAAATTGAATTTGATTCGATACATCTACAAAGTCGATTTCAGATGACTTCAGCAGGTCGATCCCGGTCCATTTTTGGTCGATCTTACACATGTTTAAGTTACAACAATTCAATTGTCGCCATTTCAGAGTAAACAAAACTAGAAAGAGACTTTGGTGAAATTAGCGAAACCACCTAAAACTTTACCCAAACGACTACCTGG